GCTTTGAACAATATGTCTTGGTTGTGAACAATTTGTCTTTTGAATTTGAACAATAATTGTTAGGTTGTTTGGTTGATATTTGCTTTGTCTGTGGATGATGTTTGGATATGGTTTATGGAATATGATTTTGTAGAATATGTAGATTTCGAAGAATATGGTTTATGGAACAATATTGGTTTTACCACAAATAATACCATTTTTTCTTCTATCCAGTACCTGTTGTTGATCAATTAGTACCTACTTTTTTTTGTTCTTTCTACAAAACAGGTACTAATAAATCAATAATTGGTACTAAATAGAAAAATAAGTGGTACTAATTCATCAATAACTGGTACTAATTGAGCAAAAGACATTCAGAAGTGAATTAAGTATTGCTTTTCCATTAGTGCGTTGAGTTCATGACCCATTTGCGATTAAACTTAACAAACCAAATTTTAAATCTCATATAAACTAATGTGAGAGTGATCATGGGTCTTATAGACATCATTTGCGACCGAAATTCGGTGTTCTATCTGTTCAAACAAGTGGTACTAAATACTTCATATGTGGTACTAAATTCCCATTTACAGGTACCAACTTACACTATGACTGGTACCACTTTTTTAAATATTGACCACAAGTGAAATAATCAATTATCCTTGACAAATGTAGGTACTAATCGACTAAAAACAAGTACTATATACAGGAAAATGTGGTACTACTTTGTCTAAATCAGGTACTATATTAAGAATCGTGATATTTCTAATCCTTCATGTCTACCATGTCACGTGGATCGTTAACACGTGATTTGGATAAAAATTAGTGGAAGTTAAATTATATAGGTAGAAATTGGAGTAGTCATGTATGATGATTCTATGAGATGAAGTGTTTCATTCCATAAAATGAAGTGTAGTAGTAGTGTTTTCTCATTAGTGTGTAGAGTTCATGACCATTTTATGATTAAACTCAACGTAAAATATATATAAACTAATGTGAGAGTGATCATAGGTTGTATGAACATAATTTTTGACCGATATTCGGTTTTCTATCTGTTCATTATAAGGGGTACTTAAGGCTCTATATTTGGTACTAAATCTACATAAAGTGGTACTACCTTACTGTAGGTCTGCTACTACTTCTTTTAAATGTTGACCACAATTGAAATATTCCATCTTGATTGACCAAAAGTTGGTACTAATTCATTCATATTAGGTATTTCGTAGAAGAATACCAGGTACTATTTCAATATAAAATGGTATCGAGAGTGTTGAGAAATATCACAATTCTTAATATAGTACCTGATTTAGAAAAAATAGTACCACCTTTTCCTGTATGTAGTACCTGTTTTTAGTCGATTAGTTACCTACATTTGTCATGGATAATTGATTATTTCAACTGTGGTCAACATTTTAAAAAAGTGGTACCAGTCATAGAGTTAGTCAGTACCACTTTCTGGTAGATTAGTACCATTATTCTGGTCCTTTGTACCACTTGTAGTGAACACATAAAAATACCGAATATCGATCGAAAATTATGTTCATACGAACCATGATCACTCTCACATTAGTTTATATGAGATTTCAAATGTTTTTTGTTGAGTTTAATCATAAAATGGTCATGAACTCTACACACTAATGAGAAAACACTACTACTACACTTCATTTTATGGAATGAAACACTTCATCTCATAGAATCATCATACATGACTACTCCAATTTCTACCTATATAATTTAACTTCCACTATTTTTCATCCAAATCACGTGTTAACGATCCACGTGACATGGTAGACATGAAGGATTAGAAATATCACGATTCTTAATATAGTACCTGATTTAGAAAAAATAGTACCACATTTTCCTGTATGTAGTACCTGTTTTTAGTCGATTAGTACCTACTTTTGTCATGGATAATTGATTATTTCAACTGTGGTCAACATTTTAAGAAAGTGGTACCAGTCATAGAGTTAGTCAGTACTCGTTTCTGGTAGATTAGTACCACATTTCTGGTCTTTTGTACCACTTGTAGTGAACACATAGAAACACCGAATATCGGTCGAAAATTATGTTCATATGACCCATAATCACTCTCAAATTAGTTTATATGATATTGAAAATTTGGTTAATTAAGTTTAATCGAAAAATTGTCATGAACTCTACACACTAATGAGAAAACACCACTACTACACTTCATTTTATGAAATGAAACACTTCATCTCATAGAATCATCATACATGACTACTCCAATTTCTACCTA